CCCCAAAACCCCAAAACCCCAAAACCCCAAAACCCCAACTTAGAATCCCATAGTTGAAAATTGGAAATGTTTATAGATATGCACAGGATGTAAAACTTGGGGTAGGTGATAATACATTCTCCAGGGTGAAAGGCTAAATAGATATTCCCTTGAGTATATTAAAGCTAACTTGAGTCAAGTTTATCACTTAAAATTGTGCTTAACTCCCGCTCTATTCTAAGTATTCTGACAATAGTAATTTAAAAATAAATATAAAAGATGTCGGTGAAATATTTTAAACGATATCTACCAATTATTTATCGTGTAAATTATTCTTCTAAGCCAATGGCTTTTACCAAGGTCTTCACCCAGCTGGAAGTATGTACTCTGGCTGATTCCACAAAGTGGGTCCCCCAGATAACTTTCAGGACCTTGATACTATCATTATTTTCGTGGTAAATCACCACTAGGTTATCAAATGATATTACCTTAATTGTCCTGGCTTCGTCTGAGGAGGGAATACTAATGCATTCCGGCCCAAGGCTAAGGATAATACTTAAACGAGATTTGATCGCAAGTGGCGAATCATAGAACTCAAGTTTACCCTGTTTCACAAGGATATCTAATTCTTCAGAAACTTCTTTTTTGTATAAGACTGTATGAATCGACTTCGAGATTCAGTCAATCTCTTCTTTAATGTAATCTTCTGCAAATCCTGGACCTTTACAGATGTTCTCCACCATTGCTTGTGAGATGTTAGAAAGCTTCATAAATTCCTTAGGCAGCTTTGTGATGATTTCTGAGGTTAATCTTCTGATATCACAAATAATCGAGTGATGAATGATTCTAGCTCCAGAAATGATCAAATTTCAGTCGTTAATTTCTTCTACAAAGCCTATGGACCACACCTTGTCTCACATAGGCATAGTATTCAGACAAGTTCTAAGCTCTTCCTCCTCTAGAATTTCTTCTGTATCAGAAAGTCATCTTCGAGCATTATCAGGAGTATGGAGAATCCATACATACCTTGATTCTTCGATTATATCTTGAATTTGCTCTCAAATTTCTTCATTCATCTCGACTTGGGTGAAAAGATTCGGCACAAATAGTCAATCTTTAGGTACTCCATACTTCTCTCTGAGTGGAGACTTTGCAAGTCCAATTGGCTTGGCTCATTGCACCTCTGAAGTGTCGCTTGTCTGGTTGATGAATTCCAGCTCGTCTTTCTTGCTTTCAAAACTATTTTGGCTTCTGATATCTCTGATTGATTCCATTGCTACCCCAGTAACATTCTTGTCATCACAAAAGTCTTTTGATAGATCAATTCGACCATCAAATTTTTCAAACCCAAGATGTTGGTTTGAAGAGAAAAATGAATAATCTCTTGCGGATTTAGCATAAAGCTTATTTTCATCATCTATTCGAGCCTCCTTACGTAGATATCAGCAGATGTGAGTCCCTTTAAGCTTGAAGTGACTGACCTGAGACAAAGAGCCTGACTCTAGCTGCAAATGGTCTTCCTCTAGTACTAAGTTCATCTTATCTACAAGTTTCTGCGCTTGGTAATTATAGTTCTCATCATGTCAAGTATTCAGCAAATATTTCTTTCTAGCTTCTTCTCCTCAAGTCTTTCCTATATCAAAAGAATAGTCGCCAAATTTGTCGTGGTCTGCTTGCACTGGCCTGAACTCTATCTGTCATTGAAGATGTTCACTGAAAATGTGGTTTAGTTGGTCCTCCATAATATTTAAAATAATATTCTGTTTTCGTCCTCAAAAGGGGTTTTGGGGTTTTGGGGTTTTGGGG